GTCTTTAAAATGCACATGGAAAATGAGTATTGTGAAAAAAGCCATTCATGGTTTTCAAAATTTCTTTGTACCAAAATGTATTTTAATTCCATTATTCTTTGAACTTTTTGAAGGCCCCTCATAGATACGATGGGCCTACTATGTGCTGGGGATGTTTAATTCGCGGGCTGGGTGAGCTTAGAGAAAGGCACCGTTCAGAGAAGTTAAATGACTCACCCTTGGGCATACAGCTGGCTTAGTAGGAGAGCTGGGATCTCTCCCTGTGTTCTTCTGCTCCTGGAACCCAGGCATCGCTGTCTGAGACCCCATACTGCTCCTCCAAGGTCTAGCCTTTAGTATCCGCCCAGAGCTGCCTTCCTTTCGCTGCCTCTATCGTTTCTCCTGATTTGAAACAATGGTTAACCCTTTCCTCTAAGGAAAATCTATGCCCGGAGAAGCCTGGTGATAAAGAGCTGTCACATCAGCACCATTTACCTGTTTGGGTTTATTCAGCGGAAGAGGCGACTGCGTTTCTGGCAGATGGAGACCCGTGTGACTGCCTTTTAAAATACTGTCACAGCTGTATGCACAAGCTGATTAGCTGTGACTGTGCTGCTAGTGCCGAGATTGATGGCGATAAATTTGGGATAACAATGCTGGGAACGATGTCATCCATTTGTAGCGCACTTCATATTTTTTAAAGCTCTCTCTGCTGGTAGCCTAGTGGTTAAAGGACCTGGTATTCATTCATCTGTTGATTCATTCATTGCTCAAAGACCAGCTCTTCCAACTTGGTCCATTTTGATTCAGTCGTTTCAGTCATTTATTCAATAAATATTAATGTCACTCCTACTATGTGCCAATGATCAACAGATCCAACCATGTGTACATGTACATTCTAAACAGAAGCAAGTTCAGTGCAGATGGTGATAAAATAATGAGGTAAACGGACTCATAAGGTGGAGTGGCGGGGGCATATACTAGGGTGAGCAGCCAGGATAGGCCTATTTGAAGAGGTGACATGTAAAAGGAGAAGCAGGGACCAACAGATGGTGTAGTGGTTATGTTGGTGGACTCCACGTAGCCGACTGCAATTTGAGTCCCAGACCTAGCAGCTTAAAATTCACGCTGGGCACATGTACATGTGTTCCCAAGATCCCAAGAGGAGAATGGAGGAGAAGAGATTGCTGCGTGGCCATCCGCTCTGGGCGGGGGTGACTTCTCACTGTCTGTCTCTCTGGTGAATGCACGTGCCTTACAGCAAAATTTCTCTCCAAAATAAATGAATGAATGATGAATGAATGGATGGATGGATGGAGAAGCATAGGGCTGGTCCCATAGCCTAGTGATTAAGGTAAGTCAGATCCTATATGTATACATGCATGACCCAAATCCCCAACAGATGGAGAAATAGAGGAGAAGGGTCATTCATAGCCCACTTTGGAAGGGAGGGTACATTTTCCCTCTTCCTCTCTGATGAGCATATGTGTCCTCCGGCAATTCAAAGATAAATAAAAGGAGAGTCGTAATAATTGTAATGGAATAATCAATGACAAGAGCAAGAAACTTCCCAGGTTCAGCGAGTGCAGAGGCCCTGGGGTTGCTATGTTTTTAGCATTGATCTACTCACTGGTGACTTTCTGTTAGCCAAGGACAGTGCCGATACTGGAGTTTCTGAAATGAGATGCGAGGCCTGTGCCCCAGGAGGTCTCAGTATCATGCAGTACGTAGGAAAGAAATTCAGAGACATACATTTTAATACAATGTGGTAGGCCTGGTGATGGTGACGCAGGAAGGAGACGCTGTGTCAGTCTGCGCATCGGTTCCCAGAGAAGGCGGTTCATGCAGAATAGCAGGAACCCGGCCTCTGTAGCAAAGAAGGGAACCAAGACTCAAAGTCCGCATGGTCACTGGAGGTCCCTGACTTTCTTCTCGGTTTGTTTCCACAGGACGAATGACCAGCTGGTGGCATTTCTCTCACGGTACCGAGATATGAATTTCTTGAAGTCACATGGCCGGGACAATGCCAGGTAACACATCATTCCACTGTTCCCTTGCAAAATGAAAATGAGAAGTCTGAGTGATCATTCTGGGCCTTTCTTCTAGCTGTTATGCAGCCAGAGACAAGTTGAGGGTGGGAGGAAGGTGCAGCACGGACTGTAACCATTTCCATGTATGATCTGAAGTGGTCCCTCCTTGTCAGCTGATGACAGAGGTGGAAGTAAATGCTGTTTGTGGCGTTACAGCCTTCCACACCTTTTCTCTTCAAGCACTCTCATGAGTCTGTTATCTCCTGTGGCTGCCCTTTAAGTAGGGCAGTCACTGTTCATTCCTATTTTATTGGTGGGAAGTCAGTCTCGGTGATGTCCTGAACATCACTCAGTTGTTTATTCAGCATGCATTCAGTCAATCATTCAACAAGTTCTTCCCAAGGGGGCTTGATGATGGTGTAGTAGGAATACAGAATGCTGTGAGGCTGATCCCATGAGAAGGTTCTGGGTTCAAGTGTAACTGAGGCTGATGGAAGTGTGGGGATCATGGCATCAAGACCCCATTGGAGGCTCAGCCTAGGTGGTCCTGTTGGAAGCATACCAAGCAACAGTATGGAAGCCACATAGCCGACCCCCTATTCAGATCCCTAGCCCAAGTCAGCTGGAAACACACCTAACAGGTGCCCAAGATTCTAAGGAGCTGGAGGGCTGGTAGAAGAGAATCACAGCATGACAAGACCATGTCAAAGGTGCTTTCTCTGTCTTTGTCTCTGTCTGTCTCTTATGCATGTACATCCACTATCATCAATATAAAACTTAAAAACTTGTATGGGGTTCTCTCTCTCTCTTTCTCTCTCTCTTGCACATGCGTGTGTACGCATGCTCATGGAAGAAATAAATAAACTTTAAAAAAATATTATTGGGGCCAGCAGATGGCATAATGATTACATCACTGGACTCCCATGTAGTCGACCGCAGTTCGAGTTCAAGACCCCGTGACTTAAACTCATGCCAGGTGCATGTGTGTGCATCCAAGATCCTCAGAGAAGAATGAAGAAGAGATTGTGGTGTGTCCATCACCCTGGGCAGTGACTTGTTGCTTTCTGTCTGTCTTTCTAGTGAGTGCATGTACCCTATAGGAAAAATCTCTCTTCCTTTCTTTTTTTTTTTTTTTTTTTTTTTTTTGGAGAAGTTTTTGCTATAGGACACATGCGCTCGCCGGTAAAACATAGAGAGACAGAGAGACAGAAAGTGAGAAATCACCCCCTGGGGGAATGGCCACACTGCAGTCACTTCTCCTCCATTCTCCTCTTGGGATCTTGGGCATGTATGCACGTGTGCCCAGCGTGAGTTTAAGCCACCAGGTCCGGAACTCGAACCACAGTCAACTATCTGGGAGTCCAACGACATAGCCATTATGCCAACTGCTGGTCCCATAAAAATCTCTCTTAAAAAAAAAAAATTACCAGGTATGAACCATGTACCAGGCATCATGGTAGCAGTAAACCAGACTGAGTTCTGACTCTCATGGAATTTTCTTTCTAGTGGAAAACAGGCTTGTGCCAGCATGGAGTGAACTTAGGGGTCCAGGCTCCCAGGCCTCTGTCCTCCCTCTATATCATGCTGCTGCCCCAAGATGTTGGCAGGGATTTGAGGCACCTAGAACCCCAGCTTGGTCCACTGCACCTCTCTCACTTAAAAAGAGCATTGTCAAAAAACAGCATCATTTCAATCCAGCGTTGAGCTGAGCCCAACACTCCATGGCCTGAGATCAGCTAAAGCAATAGTCATGAGTGCCCCCTGTAGGAGAGACCTGCGTTGTGGTTTTGAGCACAGAGCATACTCTGGTAGAACAGGGGACAATTGTAACTACTTCTCCTCATGTTTTGCTTGGTCCTTATGATGCGGGTTTTGTTTTGTTTTCATTTGGGCACTTCATTTAAAAATGAATAGCTCAATTTAAAGACAGCAAGATTTCCTATGGTAATATAGAATTGCAGCTAGTCCTGGAGAATCTGAAGACCCAGTAGCTCTGTGCCTGGATTTTCTCATGGCCATTTCCGTCTGGAACTTAGACAAAGCCCATGTTCATTAGGTCACATCAGCCCTTAGCTGTGCCTCTTCCCGACCTGACCTTCAGTGGCACTTTAGTTTTTTTAATTTCTGCTTTAGGTCTTCTGTGCCATTGCTGATAGAGATGTCATTTTGGCTGTCTTGGTGACTCAGTTTACCCAGTAATCCCCAGCAGAAGGGCAAAGGCAAGCAGTGAGCTCCTTGCTGAGCTTCTAGGAAGGAATCCCAGAATCCTCATATTGTTTCATTTTCCTAAATTTTAACTTTGATTTTGTTCAGCTAACTATTTATAGAATGCTTCTGTCTTGCCCACAACCCGCCTCCTTTGAAGGAGCCCCCTGGACTTGAAGATTCTCTGTAAATTAGCACAGATTACTACAGCCTGTTCAGGCCACTAAAGGTGGAAAGCCCTGGCTGGGTAAATAAGGGTTATAGCCACTGTGTGTTGTGTCCCTACTAAGTGCTCATCATTCTGCGGGGCCCTTTTCATACAGGATCCAACTTCATTGTCTCAGCCACTCAATGCAAAAATGAGAATTATCATCTCCATTTGTCAGGAGATGAAAGGGAGGCTATGGAGTCTAAATGCTAGAATTTGACCCAGGTCTTCTGGCCCCAAAGCCAAGGGAGAGAGTTGGGCCTGGGCATGTTGCATGGAGGTGATTAGTTAGCAGAACTGGCCCAGATATTGGTGTTCCCTGCCCTGAGGTAGAGCATGTAAACCTTCTTCCCCTCCAGTAGCCTTTAGTACAAGATTCATGCAGTTACATCTTGAGAAAGGAGCCTGTTCTGAGTCTACCCTCTGTCCGAATTACACCCACCCAGTATTATTGTTTCGGCCTTGTCAGTTGTCACTCTTTTTGCACTACTTCCCAGGTCCTGTGCTAGGAACTGCATATAGCAAAGGCGAAAATTATGGGCTTTGGCATTACACTTCCAGGATGAAAAAATGATCTACTGTGTCCTAGCTGTGTCGCGCTAGACAGGTGTCTTAACCTCTCTGAAACTGCTGCCTTACCTGTACAGTGGAAATATGAATATACTACGTGTGTGGTGTTATTGGGAGGATCAGACAAGATGGTGCTGCATGGAAAGCATTGAGAATAATGTCATTCCCTACAGTTTTGGTATGATGATGTCCTTGTCATGATAACCACAGGACTAAAATGTTGCTGGTAGTAGAAAGACAGCTGATGTAAGGGCCTGAGTTGTGCTCAAGGTGCGTGAGTACATCCCATATAACCAATTGACAAGTGGTACCCAAATGTCATGGGGCAGGATGAAGGCTCAGGGGAAGAAGATGTTGCTTGTACCTCCCTCTGAAAGCTCCTGATTCCCAAAGCTCTCCGACACAAGAGCTCACAAGTTGGAGTGCTCATGTATGAGCCCCCTACTAGGATCCTCTCATTTACATAAACTAAGGGCAGTGATTTTCTATTAAGTTAAATGAGCCAGCGTACCATCATCTGCTGCTCTTTCCTCTTTGTTAGCGGAGGGCTCACCTGCTGAATGAACCAGCCTAGCCATCCCATCTTCCATTGTTTCTCCTGCATGGACAGAGCTGGCCATGGCAGAGCTCTGCTTCCCTCAGGGTGGTGGGTTAGGGAGAACTCTTTCGGTAGGAAATGACAGAAACACCTCAGTTGTCAGACTGACTCAAAGGTAGAGAAAGTTATTGGATCTTGCAATTCAGACTGACTTCAGGTACGGCTAAATCAAGCAGCACGAAGAGTATCATCAAGCCTAAACTCTACTAGTTCTGTGTTTCTACCTGTGAATTTAACTTTCTGGCTCTAGAGGGTGACCATTGTTTAAAAATAAGGAAACTGAGACTCAGGGAGGTGAAGTAACTTGCTTAAGCACATATACTGGGGCAGGGCAAAGATGCAAGCCCAGGTGATGGTGTGCACAGAGGGCAAGCCCAGAGTTCCTGTGGGATGAACTCTCTCTGTGCTCTAGGACTGATTTTTACCAACATGCTGGTGATTTTCAGGCAACCACTCTGCTTCTCTGAGCTTCATTTTCTCTCTTTGAGAAACGAGGAGGTTGAACAAGATTTCTCTGAAGTCCCTTCCCATTCTGATGTTTCATGCTCCTTGGGCCAGGCCTTGTAAAAGAGGAGGTGACAGAGGCGGAGAGCTTGAAAGACAGAGAGATGGGGAGGCATGAAAGCAAACAATGAGATACAAAATCAGCCCCAGGGTGCTTCTGTTTTTAATTCCACATGGTTCCTAATAGCAATGTTGACCTTCTGTGTCCGTCTCCAGTCTTTTGCAGCCAATTTGGACTTTCAGCTCCCACTGCGAAGACATGGCATAAAGGCAAACTAGTATTTTAATAGCTGCCAAATTGGTCCTGACTGTTCCTGTAATTAAATGAAGAGGAGTGTTGTGTTCATTGTTTCTCCTTGCTTTCCTCTAAAAATAAAGTAACTAGATATATTGAAAGTCATGTACCACTATTATCATTTTCCCAGACAGCCTCAGCGGGCCTAGCAAGAACAGGAGCCCTCAAGTTGACTCTCAGCCTGAATAATCAAGTCTTTGGAAACAGCCCCAGGAGCTCCAAACTCCATCGGGGAGCTTCAGAGATGTTTTCCTCACCTCTGCAGTTTGCTCAGGTCTCGTTGTGTGGGGACAGGCCCCTACAGAGAGATAGAAAGGAACAACCCACTGCTTTACCCAGAATCGGGTTTCCTCGGGGGCTTTTCCCGCCCTGGTTGATCTGGTTTCCTTACCTTGTTCAGAGTCACCGGGGCCCCAGTGTTTAGCCCTGGGACCCAGCGAGGTGTAGCGGTCAGAGTGTAGATGGTGGAGTTCAGCTGCCTGTGTCTCAGCACCAGCCCTGCTGTGCAGCAGCAGTGAGCCTTCAGCAAACAACTTCCACCGGCCATGCCTCTGGGTCCTCTTTATATAAAATCCAGATAGTGATAATGGGGTTGGGGTGGAGTATCCTCACTGACCATG